ATTATTTGAAAAGATAAATAAAATTGATAGACCATTAGCAAGATTAACCAAGGAAAGAAGAGAGAAGATCCAAATAAGCTCAATTAGAAATGAAACAGGAGTTATTACAACTGATACCACAGAAATAGAAAACATTATTCAAGTCTACTCTGAACACATTTACCCATATAAACTAGAAAATCTACAGGAGATGGATAAATTCATGGAAATATACAATCCCCTTAGATTAAACCAGGAAGGTATAGAATCTCTGAACAGACCAATAACAAGCAGCAAGATTGAAATGGTAATTTAAAAATTGCCAACAACAAAAAAAGTTCAGGATCAAATGGATTCACAGCTGAACTATCCAACTTTCAAAGAAGAATTGGTACCAATCCTATTGACATTATTCCAAAAGATACAGAAGGAGGAATCCTCCCTAAATCATTCTATGAAGCCAGTATCACCCTAATACCAAAACCAGAGAAGGACATAACAAAAAAAAGAGAAAACTACAGACCAATATCCCTGATGAACATAGATGAAAAAATCCTCAACAAAATACTAGCAAACCAAATCCAAGAGCATATCAAAAAGATAATCCACCATGATCTAGTGGGTTTCATACCAGATATGCAGGGATGGTTTAACATATGCAAGTCAATAAATGTGATACACCACATAAACAGAATTAAAAACAACAATCAATCACATGATCATCTCAATAGATGCAGAAGAAGCACTTGACAAAATCCAGCATCCCTTTATGATTAAAACCCTCAGCAAAACTGGCATAAAAGGAACATAATTTAAGGTAATAAAAGCTATCTATGACAAACCCACAGCCAACATTATACCGAACGGGTTTTGAAAGCATTCCCCCTGAGAACTGGAACAAGACAAGGATGCCCAATCTCACCACGTCTATTCAACATAGTACTGGAAGTCCTAGCCAGGACAATCAGACAAGGAAAAGAAATAAAGGGCATCCAAATCAGTAAAGAGGAAATCAAACTGTTGCTGTTTGCTGATGATATGATCATATACCTAGAAAGCACTAAAGACTTATCCAAAAAGCTCCTAGAACTCGTAAATGAATTCAGCAAAGTTTCAGGATACAAACTTAACATACACAAATCAGTAGTGCTGCTCTACACCAACAGTGACCAAGCTGAGAATCAAATCAAGAACTCAACTCCTTTCACAATAGCTGCCAAAACAAACAAACAAACAAACAAAAAAAGGTAGGAATATACTTAATCAAGGACTTGAAAGACCTCTACAAGGAAAACTACAAAACACTGCTGAAAGAAATCCTAGACAACACAAACAAATGACCATATTCTCAAAAGCAATCTACAAATTCAATGCAATTCCCATCATTCTTTAGAGAACTAGAAAAAAAATCCTAAAATTCATATGGAACCAAAAAAGAGCCCACATAGCCAAAGCAAGACTAAGCAAAAAGAATAAATCTGAAGGGATCATATTACCTGACTTCAAACTATACTCTAAGTCCATAGTCACCAAAACAGTATGGTATTGGTATAAAAATAAACACATAGACCAATGGAACAGAATAGAGAACCCAGAAATAAAGCCAAATACTTACAGCCAACGGATCTTCGACAGAACAAACAAAAACATGAAGTGGGGAAAGAACACCATATTCAACAAATGGTGCTGGGATAATTGTCAAGCCACATGTAGAAAAATGAAACTGGATCCTCATCTCTCACCTTATACAAAAATCAACTCGAGATGGATCAAAGACTTAAATCTAAGACTTGAAACTATACATTTCTAGAAGATGACATTGGAAAATCCCTTGTAGACCTTGGCTTAGGCAAAAACTTCACGACCAAGAACCCAAAAGCAAATGCAACAAAAACAAAGATAAATAGATGGGACTTAATTAAATTAAAAAGCTTCTACACAGCAAAAGAAATTATCAGCAGAGTTAACAGACAACCCTCAGAGTGGTAGAAAATCTTCACAATCTATATATCCAACAAAGAACTAATATCCAGAATCCACAAAGAACTCAAATCAGCAAGAAAAAAAAAATCCCATAAAAACGTGGGCTAAGGGCATGAATAGACAATTCTCAAAAGAAGATATACAAATGGCCAACAAGCATATGGAAAAATGCTTAACATCACTAATTATCAGGGATACACAAATGAAAACCATAATGTGATACCACCTCATTCCTGCAAGAACGGCCATCATCAAAAAATCAAAAAATAATAGATGTTGGCATGGATGCAGTGAAAAGGAAACATTTTTACTGTGGAAAACAGTGTGGAGAGTCCTTAAAGAACTAAAAGTAGATCTACCCTTTGATCCAGAAATCCCACTTCTAGGTATCTACCCAGAGGAAAGGAAATCATTGTACAAAAAGGTACTTGCACACGTATGTTTATAGCAGTACAATTTGCCATTGCAAAAATATGGAATCAGCCCACATGTCTATCAATCAACGAATGGATAAAGAAAATGTGGTGTGTATATACCATGGAATACTACTCAGCCATAAAAAGGAACAAAATAATGGGATTCACAGCAACCTGAATGGAATTAGAGACTATTATTATAAGTGAAGTAACTCAGGAATGGAAAATCAAACGTTATATGTTCTCACTCATGTGGGAACTAAGCTATGAGGATGCAAAGGCATAAGAATGGTATGTTGGACTTTGGGGACTTGGGGAAAGAGTAGGAGGTGTCAAGGGACAAAAGACTACGCATTGGGTACAGTGTACACTGCTTGGGTGATGGATGCTCCAAAATCTCACAAATCACCACTAAAGAACATTCATGAAACCAAACATCACCTGTTCCCCAAAAACTTACTGAAATAAAAAAATAAAAATTTTTAAACAGTTTAAAAAATACAATAACACTGGATAGTAACTCAAATCCACAGGAACAAATGCAAAAAATATATAAACAAGAAGGTTAGTATAGTAAATACTATAAATATGTACTTGCTCGTCTTTCTTAGCTTAATTAAAATGCACAGTATTATATAAATAATCATAACATCAATTATAACAATGTCTTTAATATATGTAGTTGTAATACACATAATAGTGCAAAAATGTTGAAGAAGGAATAACGCTATATGGGAGTAATATTTCTGTACTTCACTGGAATTTGATTAGTATAAACTCCAGTAGAATCTAAAATTGACTGTAGTCAGAACTACACAAATATGTCAACATCTTAAAAAACATTGAATTGAACATTTTACATAAGCATATAGCATGATATGTTATTTATTTTGAAAAAATATCTCAGTGAATTCCAGGCAGGATCATATTTAAAAAGAATTAAAGCAATGAGAGGATACGGTAAGGGAGGAAACATGAATGTTACTAGATTGTAAATTACTTTAGTACATAGATTCTCTTCCTAAATGCTTAACCTTATCTCCCCTAAAATGCTCTTCTCATTGCCTTCCTTCTTATTATCTAAGAATCTTTGCATACTCACTTGAAATGAACCATTCCTTCTTATGTGTACTAGTTAGAGTAATAATCGGAGAGGCTAAAATATGACTGCTCATATTCCCTATTTTTATGTTTCTATAGATCTGCTTATGTTCACAAAATATAGCTGTGTACTTATGGAAAATACGTTCTTATGTGTCTCGGTTCATTTTGGTAATGGTGCCTCAGCTGGTCCATACTTTGGTTTAGATTTCACTGGTGGTATATTTGGGCTTCAGATGTTACACTGTAAAACTTAACATTTATTCAAGAGCTCAGACATTTCTTCAGAGCAAAACTTTACTCTGTGGTATCTGGGTCATTATAGGTTTCCAACTTTAGCATATAGTCTGCTATAAACAACTTTCTCTCACAAAATATTAGGTCCACCAGTTGACCCAAGTCACCCATTCTAATTTTCCCTTTTCAATATGAACTCGCCTTTCATAACTTTCATGTATTTTTCCTTTTATATGACCTAGTCAGTAGTTTTCAAATCTAGCAAAAGATTCAAATCACATAAAAACTCCAGTGGAAAGGAATGCAATCTCACTGCTTATGCTACTACAAGTTTACTTACTTCATCCTCCCCAGCTACAAAGTCTACAAACTCAAGAGGATATGAAAGTCACATTTTCATATTCCACAAAATATCTAATTATTTTTCTACATTATTTATCCATACTTGATTTATAGTTACAAATCTTAGAAATGACATGAAGTCTTTATGAACAAATCAAAGCACTTTGCCCCACAATAACTCTCTGTGACTGTGGAGACCATGATTTGCAAATTGACCTATTCTTAAAAATGTTATCTTTTATCTCACCAGGTACATCCCACAGTAGATAGTGCTACTGGTGTAAAATTTAAAGTTATATTATCATCATAAACTTTCTAGGATAATTTTAGTTTGCATAAGAGATGCCATTATATAGTAACGTCACTGGTTAAGGAATTACAAAGTGTTGGTTTGTGCATCAGTTTTGTCATTATCTTGATGTGGTCTTGTTCAAATCATGAAACATCTCTGAACTTCAATATAATAGGCTTATATGATTGCTAATAGCCCTTCAAATTCTGTTTTGTGATGCTTACTGCAATAAGACATTATATTGCGACTCTTCTACTATAATAATAAATACTCACTACACATGCATACACACATATAAAATGTTTACCTTATAAAATATATTGAAATCTGCTTTATTTCTATAGAGACTAATAAGGATCTCTTAGCAGATGCTATTGGACTATTGGACGAGGTATAATAAAGGGGTCAATTAAAACACAATTTAAATGTCCCCCAGGTAAAAAAAAAATTCGAGACTAATATTTATGGTTTATTCATATCCCTGGAGTTAAATTAAGTATGACCCTTTAATGACAATAGTACCAATATGTTAGTATTATATAGGTGAAATTCTAAATGAATATCCTCCTATAATTAAACACACACATATACTCAGAGATATGGTAATGTTTATCTTACAAAATATATTGATATCTGTTTTACTTCTACAGAGACTGATAAGGAACACTTGGCAGATGCTATTGGAAGAGGTATAATAAAGGGATCAATCAATGCACAACTAAAAGGTCACCAGGGTAAGAAAAAGAATTTCTTACATCTAATATTTACGGCTGATTTATATTCCCTGAGTTAAATTAAGTATAGACCTTTAATGACAACAGTACCTATATCATAGTACTTTCCATAGCAAAAGATGCTATTGGAAGAGATATAATAAAGGGACCAATCAATGCACAATTAAAGAGTCACCAGGGTAAGAAAAAGAATTTTTGAGTCTAATATCTGTGACCTATTCATGTTCCCTGAGTTAAATTAAGTGCAGACCTTTAATGACAACAGTGTCTACATGTTATTATTACACAGGTACCTATATCATAGTGTTACATTGGTAAAATCCTTCATGAATATCCTTCTATAATTAAACACACATGTATACACATGTATAGTAATGTTTACCTTATAAAGTATTTTGAAATCTGTTTAATTCTATAGAGACTGATAAACAACTCTTAAAAGATGCTATTGGAAGAGATATAATAAAGGGACCAATCAATGCACAATTAAAGAGTCACCAGGGTAAGAAAAAGAATTTTTGAGTCTAACATTTGTGATCTATTTATGATCCCTGAGTTAAATTAAGTATAGACATTTCATGACAATAGTGCCTACGTGTTAGTGTTACATAGGTAAAATTCATCATGAGTATCCTTTAATTAAGCTCTAGCATTTACTATCAGTGGAACATTAGCATATTATTGATTTTAAAACTCATCCATTTGAAAAGTAATGCATAAAAATTCAGTGTTACAGTTACCTTAGAGTAGTCTCAGTGTAGGCATTTCCAAAGCTATTCTACTTACTTTTTGTTTCTGAAAAGTGATGTTTAATTAGCAAAAGCAGAAAGGCAAAAGCAGAAAGGCTAGCTGAAGACTGTGATGACAAGAGGAGTACAACACATAACTATTTCACTGGTTATCCATTCCCTCTATTTGATAAAAATGTCAGGCAAATTTATAAAGTCTCACCTACAATACAGTACTTTATTTGTGTTACGTAATTCAGAGATTACACTACTGACTTTCATCTTGGTGTAAGATTGTTATATAGTTATACAATTTTCTTTGATCTCTGGTGTGATACAAAAAGAGGCAGACAGCTAACAGAGAAACAATGTAAAGAGACACATTCGAAGCCGGCCCTCTAAAACCAATGTTATCCAAGGTACTGGATGCATGTGCAAGGTTCTGCCCCTTGGAGAGCAGCAGTAGCACTTCACACTATAGGCAAGAGACTTTAGTAGAATGGCCCAGTCACAGCGCTATGCAAATAATAAGGAGAGAACAACGACAAGCCCCAGATAGAGGAGGAGGAAATCAGTATCTGGAGATGCTACAGTATATTATGGAAACTGTCAAATCTTTAGCAAAAATTATTAATATGTAAAGAAACAGTGAAGTGTGACCTACACCAAGGAAAAGGGCACGCCACAGTAACTGTTTGTGAGAGTCCCAGGTGTTGGACCTAGCCAGCGAAACCTCAAAGCACTTATTACAAGTATGTTCTTAGAGTTAAAGGAAATTATTCTTAAGGAAGAAAAGGAAGGTAATAGAGATTGATATCAAATAAGATGGAAATTTCAAAAGATAACATGGCAAAGCCCTGTCTCTACAAAAAATACAAAAATTAGCCAGGTGTGGTGGTGCACACCTGTCGTCCCAGCTACTTGGAGAGGCTGAGGCAGGAGGACCACTTGAGCCCAGGAGGTTGAAGCTGCAGTGAGCCATGTTCACACCTCTGCGCCCCAGCCCGAGTGACAGAACGAGATCCTGTTTCTAAATTAAAAAAAAAAAAAAAAGGAAAAGAAAAGAAAAAGAAATTTCAAAAGAAAAAAGAACTAAAATACATATGTAACATAAATGGTTACCTTACAAAGTGTTTTGAAATTTATTTTATGTCTATAGAGACTGATGTAGAACCCTTGACAAATGCTATTGGTTCAAGTAAAACAATTGGTGAGATAAAGACACAACTAAGGACTCACTATGGTAAGAATAATAATTTTAAGTCTAATATTTACAGTTTAGTTATCTTCTCTGGGGTTTTAGAGTGAATCTTTAATGATAACAGTACCTATATTTCATGGGCAAATGTCTTCATGAATTTTCTCTTATAATTAAACTCTCATATTATCAATGGGAAATTAGCTAGAAAGTTTTAAAACCTCTACACAATGATTTTTTTAAAATATGAGGTTTATAATTCTCTGTTTAAATAAATGTTTTCTACAATAATCCATGTTACTTTTATAACAATAGGATTAATGAAAAATTAATAAACAATGGTTGAATTGGGGCAGGGAGGGATCCAGTAGCTTATGCATAGACCTCTGACCTCCAAAACTATCTTTCTAAATGTATCCTTTCAAATGTAGACTACGGATCAATTATAGAAATGAACATTTGGTCAAACTAAAATGAACTTGGGATAAAGGTTGAAATTAAGGAAGATAATATCACAGAATGCAGAACAAAGACGAGAAAGAGAAAATGATGAGAGACTACACAGAAATTTACGTGATAGACAAGTGGCCATTTAATAAAATGTGGGAAGAAAAATTACCAGTGCAGAAATAGAGACAAATACGTGGAGTTGGGGATTAGTGTGTGAATAGTCAGGAGTACTCATACACTTTTTCTTTTAAAATTTTATTTTAGATGTGAATTTATTTAAAAACAAAGATATGTCCATACAACGTCAAGAAGGTATCTTCAATAGGAGCATTACACCAAGTAAATTCCCAACAAAAGTGATCAATTTATCACCCTTTGAAAATAAAGGTAAAGAATTATGTATGAAGATATGAATTCAGTATCTAATTACCTAGAATAGTTTTAAAGTATGCTTTTTCATTTACTCTTTATGCATCTTACTTTTTTTCAGAAATATCTTAGGAAAATTCTTACAAGCGTAAAATAAAATTGTTTTAATCCATCCTTTTTATTGGCAGCATGATACTTCATAGTAAGAACATTTTATTCAATCATTCTATTAAAGAGCAATGACATTTTAGGGTTGAGATTTCTTATTAAAGTACACATGGATTTTTAACGTTAAATGATATTTCCAGATTGCTTTCCTAAAGGGCTAATAAATTAACATTTTCATTTGGCAATCTTTAGGGAAAATTCTTTTCTCTGCATAACCATCTGCAATATGGATTGCTGGGTTTTTTTCTTATTTATACCCATCTGAAAATTACTAAATTATATCTCACTCTTATTTTAATTTTTATTTCCATATTTGTTAGTGTTTTACTACTCCATATCTACCCTAAAACTTTAAAAAGCATAAAACAGTAACCGCTTAGGTAACTGATGATTGTCTTGGCTGGGCTAGCATGCATTTTTGGTCAAATTATGAATTATCAATTCACCCACATGTATAGCAGTTGACTGGCTGTTGTTTGAGACAATGATGTATAGAGTGGGCCCATTCAGTAAATAGAAACTTCACTGGTTGTTCAAAAAGAAAGCAAGAGGGCCAGGTGCGGTGGCTCACGCCTGTAATCCCAGCACTTTGGGAAGCTGAGGCAGACAGATCATGAGGTCAAGAGACCATCCTGGCCAACATGGTGAAACCCTGTCTCTACTAAAAATATAGAAATTAGCTGGGCATGGTGGCACGTGCCTGTAGTCCCAGCTACTTGGGAGGCTGAGGCAGGAGAATCGCTTGAATCCAGGAGGTGGAGGTTGCAGTGAGCCGAGATCACGCCACTGCACTCCAGCCTAGCGACAGAGCAAGACTCCATCTCAAAAAAAAAAAAAAAAAAAAAAAGCAAGAATGTAAAAAGTAGATGACTAAGTATAAAGTTGTTAACTTGGTAACTGAAAGTATTAAAAGAATTCTAAGGTTACATGGAGCAAACAATTACAGAAAGGAATTGCCATACCCAGAACTGAAGGAGATCTCTGCATAAGGTGTAGATTAGATGGTGCTAGTGTCCCTGATTCTGTGGTAGGACCTTGGATCCATACTTCTGAAGGAGGTGCCCTGGCCATCTACTGCTAGTTTCTAAGCAGGGAGGAATAATAAAACTGGTTCTGCAAATATTGGAAAAAAAATGCAAACTCTTTGTTGCTATGGGAGGAATTGCTACTTCTGGGATAAGGAAACAATACTGAGATGTTCTTCACAGAAACTGAAAAGAGACAGGAAGCTCTCAAAGCCCACTAGGAACAAAATGAGAAGAACAAGTCTGTCCTTTTTCCTCCAAATTTGCAGTTTTCCTCTATCTAGCCTATCTTGTACAGCCTACCTTGGAGCTACTTTGCAAAGCAAAAATGTGGTCTGCAGAATCCCAGATCCCGTATCATAAAGCAGAGTTTAGAAGGGTGGTTTGGCGACTGAACTTAATAACTGACCCAGGAGGTGAGTTGGCTGCATGTTTCTCATCATCCAACCAACTAGCTAGGAGTCTTCAAGTTCTAAGAGCAGCATGCAGGCAAGCCTCAATGTATAAGCAGTTTTGAAGTCTCTGCTCACACACACACAATGTAACAGTGGTGAGACAGGGACAGACCGCAGAAGACATTCCCATTAACAAAAAGCGGGGAGAAACGAAGGCAAATATGGCAGTTAGTAATCCATACAATAAGGTCACCTATTTCACCATTCAATAGCATTATAATTTTCTCAGTAAAAACATACATGAAAAAATAAATGAACCAGGATGTTGGAGGATACCAGAATGGAATGCAGACTGGGGAAAATGGAATCGATCATTTCTAGTCTCTGTTTTATTTCTGCTTTGATCTTCATTTTTTTTCTTCTGTTAATTTATACTTAGTTCTGCTTTTACTACTTCTGTAAAGTGTAGTTTCAGGTTGTTTATTTGATTCTTCTTTTATGATGTAGACATTTAATGCTATAAACTTTCCTCTTAGGACTACATTTTCTGCATCCCATAAGTTTTTGTATGTTATGTTTTTATTTTCTTTTGTCTGTAGATATATTTAAATTTCCCTTTTTAATTTCCTCCTTGACACAATAGTTCTTCAGGAGCATATTGTTTAATGTTTCAAAGATCTATTAAGTTTCTTTTTATTCTGCTGTTACTGATATGTAGTTAATATTTGATGTAATTTTGATCTTACATTGTTAAGACCTCTTTTGTGGCCTAACATATGATCTATTCTGGAGAATGTTCTTTGTGCACTTGAGAAGAATGTGTATCCCGTTACTGTTGGATAGAACATTGTGTAATTGTCTGATAAACATGCTTTATCTTTTGTGTAGTTCAAGTCCAGTGGTTATTTATTTTCTATCTGGATGACCTGTCTCTTGTTCAATAGTTGGGGATATTGAAATTCCCTACTATTATTTTGTTGCAGTCTATGTATCCTTTCAAGTTTTTTTAAACGTTTGCTTTATATATTTAGATGCTTTGATGTTGTGTGCATATATACTGTGTGAGTATTAAAAATCATTACAAATGTCATCTATTGTATGGCTAACATATTTTCTAAATTTTTCTAGAGGAAACTTATGAGTACTCTTCACCCTATGCGATTGCACCTTCAAAAGCAGTTTATAGAACATATAGGGCTAGTTCAAGCTTTTCTAAAGACATCCATTTTCCTTTACTGAATCAACTCCCTTCAGGTAACTTTTAATATTTTTAGTGTACAGTGTGATTTTTAAAATAAAGCTATAACTAAATGTAAATAACCAAGTTGTAATAGCTTCAGTCATATAACAGTTTAGCAAAACATAAATGAAAGTAAGTTGTGAGTTAAGTTTATCTAACATTTGTTCATTCTTAGCGATGAGTAGTGTTCCTGGCATTTCTCTTCCCCTTCTCCATTGTGACTAACTTGGAGCTCCATTTTAGTTCTCCACCTTTTTGTCTTGTTCACTACTATAGATTTTGTGGATGACTGAGATAAACTCATTTTATAATCTCTTTGTTATATTTATATGTCCCTCTTTTATTCAACCCCAGGGAGAGCATACAATAGAAATACAACATAAGGATAGGTGAGAAGAAAAATAAATCATATGTTTAGTTTTTCCCTTCCCTTCATTATCATCTTCCTAGGCTTCTAACTCCATTAATATCTGAGAACTAAGATTTGATTCTTATCTGTCACTCCAGAGGCATCATTATGTAATTATCACCCTGGTACATTTTCTACAGTTAACTAAGTTTGAATTTTATTTTATTTTATTTTATTTTATTTAGAAACGGAGTCTTGCTCTGTCGCCCAGGCTGGAGTGCAGTGGCATGATCTCGGCTCACTGCAACCTCCGCCTCCTGGGTTCAAGTAATTCTCCTGCCTCAGCCTCCTGAGAGTTTGAACTTTTTAAAAAATGTAAATGATTTTTCTTTGATTTATTCTGTGCTCTAAAATAAATATCCATGGCACTTTCTATTCATAAAGGTTCTAAGTAAAAAATTAACAGGAAATGCAGAAAGTTGACTATTACTTTTGTTTTATTTTTTTACTACATGCAATATAAAAGGAAAAAGAAAACAATAAAAAGATATTTGGGCTTGCTTTTGGGGAAGCAAATGAATGTAAGCAAAGAAAGTGAAATCCATTTTCTTTCCCAGTGAGCTAGAAGAAAAAATGGTCAGAAATTATATATGACAATTATATATATTAAAATAATAAGCAAAATCCTGGGCTTCAGTGGATACAAAATAAAGTTAAAAGTTAAATTACTGAAAAAAAGTTGTAAGGAAACTGTGTTTTAGAAGACTAAGGTTTATCTTAACTTTTTAAAAGTTGAAATTACTTAATTCTCCACATAATTTAATAACACTGTTCTCATTTTTTTAGGGCATTCGAAAGTTGTTACCTTAAACCAAAAAGCTATTGAATTTACTCTGCCTTCTGTGACCAATACAATTGGAAAACCTACCTATAAAGGTAAAAGAATCACTACAATACAGACATATGAAATAAAACTTTATGCTATATTCTCATTGTCTCTCTTTACCAACCTCAAACCTCTAGGCTTCTTCCTCCAAACAACCAATCTTATGAGTAAGGTATCATTTCCCAAACCTTTCTTCAAACATGTAAAAATGTATATGTAAACAGTGGTTTGTGGTTCTGAATAACAACAGGCTTATATGCTTATATCCTCCTCACTTTTAAATTGATAGAAATTTCTTTCATCTGTCACTTTTTAAGCTGCTGCATGATATTCTACAATGTGAATGTGTCCTACTTTATTCAATGATTCCTCTACTGAATAACATTTTATTATCGTTTTTTGCCACTACAAGCAATGGTGCAATAAATACCATTGTTCACATATATTTATATCACAGTGATTGCATTTCTATAAAAAAGAACATGTAAGTGAGGTTGGTGCATTAAAGGTATATATCATTTTAATTTTAATAGATATTAGGAAACTTTTCAAATTATGATAGCTAGTAGTTCTGCTAGTAAATGCATGAAATGCCTATTTCCAAGCACCTAAGCCAGAACTAGACTTTTCATGCATTGGAAATATTAAGAATATTAAGTAATATTGTTAAGATGTCAGTACCACTTAAAGTGATCTAAGGATTCAGTGCAATCTCTATCGAAATCCCAAATGCTTTTTTTTACAGAAAAAAGTAAATTTTTTTTTTTTTTTTTAAATTCATACAGAATCTTAAGGCAGCAGTCTCCAACCTTTTTGGCAGCAGGGACCGGTTTCATGGAAGACAATTTTTCCACGGAATGGTGGTGGGGGAATTATTTTAGGATGATTCAGGTGCATTACATTTATTGTGTACTTTATTTCTATTATTATTACACTGTAATATATAATGAAATAATTATACAATTCACCATAATGTAGAATCAGTGGTAGCCCTAAGCTTGTTTTTCTGCAACTAGGTAGTCCCATCTGGGGGTGATGGGAGACAGTGGTGGATTATCAGGTATTAGATTCTCATAAGAAGCACACAATCTAGATCCCTCGCATGTACAGTTCACAATAGGGTTTGCACTCCTATGAGAATCTAATGCTGCCACTGATCTGACAGGAGGCAGAGCTCCAGTGGTAATGCCAGCAATGAGGAACAGCTGTAAATACAGATGAAGCTTCCCTTGCTCACCCACTGCTCATCTCCTGCTGTGTGGCCCAGTTCCTAACAGGCCACGGACCAGGGGTTAGAGACCCTGTCCCTGTAAGGGACCTGATAGTCAGAATAATCTTGATAAAGGACAAAATTGAAAGACTTACACTTCATAATTTCAAAACTTACTGCAAAGCTACAATAACCAAAATGATATGGTATTGGTCTAAAGACAAACACATATTTTGATGGAATAGGATAGAGAGCTAAGAAATAAACCCTCACATATATGGTCAAATGATTTTTTACAAGAGTGCTAAGACCAATCAGTATGGAAAAAATAGTCTTTACAACATACAATGCTGAGAAAACTAGATATCCACATGCAAAATAATGATGTTGCACCCTTATCTTACACATACAAAAATTAACTCAAAGTGGACCAAAAACCTAAAACTAAGAGCTACACTTTAAAACTCTTAGAAGAAAACATAGGAGAAAACCTCATGTTGGATTTGGCAATGACTTCTTAGATGATACAAAACACACTGTCCAAAAAATAGGTATGTTAGAATTTATCAAAATTAAAAACTTCCAGTCATCAGTGGAAAATATCAAGAGTAAAAAGGCAAACCACAGAATGGGAGAAAATATATTTAAATCACATATCTGATAAGGTATTAATAATCCAGAATATGTGGAGACCTCCTACAACTCAACCACAACAACAGAGCTCAATTTTAAAATGGGCATAGGCCAGCCTCCTACAGAAACACTGATCTGATCTGATCACCCTACCCTCCGGACTGAACACCCACAGCACCCTGCCTCCCTGGATCGGGATAGTCCTCTAGAGCCTGAGTTGCTGAGGTTCCCCACCTCCCTAGGAGTGAAGCCAACATTGCACTGCTGCACACACCCCCGGGCCAAAGCCACAGATGTGCCCCCATCATTCTTGGACCCTTGCCGTCACTGCGCCTGACCTCACAGAGCCTGAGTCACTGCTGTGTCCCATTACTCCGGGGCTTAGAGTTCTTGGTGCATGAATTGCCACTGTGCCCTATTGGTTCTGTAACCTGAATTGCAACTGTACTCTGCTCATTGGGGCCTGAACCTCTGGAAAACCTCTTCCTTCCCAGAGCCATGCCATTGCTGCACCCTAACACCCAGGATGAGTCAGCAACATGCCTGATCCTGGGCCTAAGATACTGGAAAGTGCCTCAGAGTCACAGTACTTGGCCTTGTGGGAGAGCTGCACCATCCACACCTGAAAGAATAAACCTGGACCTACACCACAGGTGCCATGGCAGTTCAACAAGACACTGAGCCCCAGACCCCAGCTCCACAGCCACTCTGAGCACCTGTTCCCTGTAATAAACACAGCACTGCTTGGCTGCCTCTGGCCTGTGTCAGGCTCAACACCAAGAGAGATGCCTTCAGGTAAATCTCCCACTATGGGGAAACTAGAACAGAAGGATCTTTAAAGTCCTTTACAGTGAGAAATGGATTCCACTACTGTGCCTACCCAGAACCAGAGCCACTGCACGTTGCCCAACTAAAACCTGCAGACAATATCTGCAGGTAACAGTCTCCCCAAGGAAGCCACTATAAAAACAAAAATTAGCAAATGGAACTTAATTAAACTAAATACCTTCAGCACTTTCCATCCAACAGCAGCAGAACATACATTTTTTTTCTAGTGCACATGGAACATTCTTAAGGATAGACAATATATTAGGCCATAAAACAAGTCTCAACAAATTCAAGAAGATCAAGAATATACCTAAGACTATTTCTGAAAACAATGGGTATGAAATTAGAAATTAAAAACAAAAGGAACCTTAAAAATTTACAAATATGTAGAAATTAAAAATCTTGCTCCTGAACAACCAACCAGTAGGTCAAAAAAGAAATCAAAAGCAATACTTAAAAATATGTTGAGACAAATGACAATAGAATCACAATGTATCAAAATCTATGGGAAGCAGCAAAAGTAATTCTAAGAGGGAAGCTTATACCAATAAATGACCACATTATAAAAGAAGAAAGATTCCAAATAAATAGTCTAATGTTATGCCTCAAGGAGTTGGAAAAAGAAAAACAAGCCAAAGTTGGCAGAAGGAAAGAAATAATAAAGATTAGACCAGAATTAAATCGAATAGAGAATAGAAAAACTATAGAAAAAAATCAATAAAACTAAGAGTTGTTTTTTTTGAAAAAAAATAAAATAGATAAAATCCTTGCTAGGCAAACTAAGAAAAGTAGAGAAAAACTCAAATAAAATCAGAAATGAAAATGAAGACATTATAGTAGATACCAAAGAAAGTAAAAGGATCATAAGAGACTAGTATGAAAAACTATATGCCAACAAATTGGATAACCTAAAGGAAATGAATAAATTCCTCAAAAAATATAAGCTACCAAGATTCAATCAGGAAGAGATAGAAAGCTTAGACAAACCAATACCAAATAAAAAGGTTGAAGAAGTAATTAAAAACGTTTCAACAAAAAAGGTCAGACCTTTCGAGGTGGCCTCACAGTTTCACACCTTCACATTTGGATCCTATGAAACATTCACAGAAGAATTATCAATGCTTCTTAAACTCTCCCCAAAAAATAGCACTAGAAGGAGTATTTTCAAATACATTTTATGAGGCCAGCATCACCTCGAGACGTAAGCCAAAGAAAGACACAATACGAGAAGAAAACTACACAGCAATATCTCTGAGGAACATTGATGCAAAAATGCTCAACTGAATTCAACAACAACAATTAAACATTATCAAACTTATTTGAAAACAACAACAAAATTGAACATCATGAGCAAGTGGAATCTATTGCTGACATGCAGGGCTGGTTGAACATGGGTAAATGAGTCAATGTGATACATCACATTCACAGGATTATCTCAGATGATCCCCCATGATGATCTCAATTGACACAAAAAAGCGTTTGACAAAGTTCAGCATTCTTTATTGAAACTTTTAATAGTTTAGGTATAGAAGGAAAGTTCCTCAACATAACAAAGGCCATTTATGAAAAATCCACAGCTGATGGAGGAATATTTTCCAAGCAAATGGAAAGCAAATAATAATAATAAAAAGCAGGGATTGCAATCTTAGGCTCTGATAAAACAGACTTTAAACCAACAAAGGTCAAAAGAGACAAGGGCATTATATAATGGTAAAGGGATCAATGCAACAAGAAGAGCTAACTATCCTAAATATATATGCACCCAATACAGGAGCACCCAGATTCATAAAGAAAGTTCTTAGAGACCTACAAAGAGACTTGGACTCCCCACACAATAATAGTGGGAGACTTTAACATCCCACTGTCAATATTAGACAGATCAATGAGACGGAAAATTAACAAGGATATCCAGGACTTGAACTCAGCTCTGGACCAAGCAGACCTAACAGACATCTACAGAACTCTCCACCCCAAAGCAACAGAACATACACTTTTCTCAGCACCACACTGCAGTTATTCTAAAATTGACCACTTAATTGGAAGTAAAACACTCCTTAGCAAATGCAAAATAATGGAAATCAAAACAGTCTCTCAGACCACAGTGCAATCAAATTAGAACTCAGGATTAAGAAACTCACTCAAAACTGCACAACTACATGGAAACTGAACAACCTGCTCCTGAATGACTACTGGGTAAATAATGAAATGAAGGCAGAAATAAAGATGTTATTTGAAACCAATGAGAACAAAGACACAGCATATCAGAACCTCTGGGACACATTTAAGCAGTGTGTAGAAGGAAATGTATAGCACTAAATGCCCACAAGAGAAGGCAGAGAAGATCTAAAATGACACTCTATCATCACGATTAAAATAACTAGAGAAGCAAGAGTGAACAAATCCAAAAGCTAGCAGAAGGCAAGAAATAACTAAGATCAGAGCAGAACTGAAGGAGAGAGAGACACGAAAAACCCTTCAAAAAATCAACGAATCCAGGAGTTGGTTTTCTTGAAAAGATCAACAAAATAAATAGATCACTAGCCAGACTAATACAAAAGGAAAGAGAGAAGAATCAAATAGATGCAATAAAAATGATAAAGGGGATATCACCACTGATCCCTCAGAAATACAAACTACCATTGGAGAATACTACAAACACCTCTACACAAATTAATTAGAAAATCTAGAAGAAATTGATAAATTCATGGGCACATACACCCTCCCAAGACTAAACCAGGAAGAGGTCAAATCCCTGAATAGACCAATAACAAGTTCTGAAATTGAGGCAGCAATTAATAGCCTACCAACCAAAAAAAGTCCAGGACAGACAGATTCACAGCAGAATTCTACCAGAGGTACAAAGAGGAGTTGATACCATTCCTTCTGAAACTATTCCAATCAACAGAAAAAGAGAGAATCCTCCCTCACTCATTTTATGAGGCCAGCGTCATACATGTGTAGAATGTGCAGGTTTGTCACATAGGTATACATGTGGTTTGCTGCACCCATCAACTCATCATCTACATTAGGTATTTCTCCTAATGCTATCCCTCCCCTAACCCCCCAACCCCTGACAAGCCCCAGTGTGTGATGTTCCCCTCCATGTGTCCATGTGTTCTCATTGTTCAACTCCCACTTATGAGTGAGAACATGCAGTGTTTGGTTTTCTGTTCTTGGGTTAGTTTGCTGTGAATGATGGTTTCCAGCATCATCCATATCCCTGCAAAGGACATGAACTTATCCTTTTTTATGGCTGCATAGTATTCCGTGGTGTACATGTGCCACATTTTCTTTATCCAGTCTATCATTGATGGGCATTTGGGTTGGTTCCAAGTCTTTGTTATTGTAAGTAGTGCTGCAATAAACATACATGTACCTGTGTCTTTAAAGTAGAATGATGGCTGCCAGGAACTGGGGATAGGAGATAAGGAATGAATGTTTAATGGGGAGAGTTTCAGTTTTGCAAGATAAAAAACATTCTGGAGGTAGATGGTAGTGATAGTTGCATAGCAGTGTGAATGGATTTAATGCGACTAAACTTGTACACTCAAAAATGGTTAAAATGGTAAATTTTATGTAATGTATGCTTTACTAAAAATTTTTAAATAATTTAAAAAATAAAAATAAACACAATATAGTTTTATCTTTAATGAGAATTATTTATATTTAGTAACAATAAACTTACTATTATTTCTATTTTAATTTCTTCTGTGAATTGCCTTTTATATTCTTTGCCCATTTTCCTGTTAGTTGTCTTTTTTGTTTCATAGAAGCTTTTTGTGTAATAAGGTTTTAAAAATATTTTGATTTTTCTATCAATTCATGTTTACAGAGAAACTGAAAGAATTCTAGAAGGGATTCCCGTCCCTTCTAGAATTTATTCAGTTTTATTCTGTCCTTTTTGCTTTATAATGTTCTTCATCTTCATATGTATATGTATGTATTATAAACATTAGGTACATATATTTATAAACATTATAAATGTTTAATACATAAAATATTATTTTTTCTGAACTGTAGAGGGATAACTTGGAGACATAATGTCTCTTTACCCATGAAACTTTAGTATTTCTTAAGAAATGATAATATATCATCACAACACAATTATCAAAAATAGGAAATTTAACATTGACTCAACTTATCATCTACTCCATAATTCATATTCAAGTTACATTTGTCATAATAATGTCCTTTATAGATTTTTTTTGGACTAAGATTGAATCTAGGACCATGCACTAAATTTGTGGTGTTTTTTTAGTATCTCTTAATCTGGAATAGTTAATTTATATTTCTTTTTGTGTCTTGACCTTCATATTTTTAACACCAGTTAGTTTGTAGAATATTTTTTCAATTTGGTTTTATCTGAAGTTTTCTCATGGTTACTTTCAGGTTAAGTTACACATCTTTGGGAGGAGTATTCCAGATGTAATGTTGTGTCCTTCTCAATGGATAATATTGTTTCCAAATATTGTGATGGCAATTTTGATCATTAGATTGTAATGGTGTCTATTATGTTTCTTTCTCTACTGTAAAGTACATTTTTTAACTTTTATAAGTAATAGGTAATTTGGGGCAGATACTTAGAGACCATGTGAATAGTCTTTAAGAGTGAGACTATTCTAAAGGTGAGACTGTCTATGGGTGAGTTTATCTATGGGTGAGTTTCTCATAAACTCACCCATTAATTTTCTTAAAAATCTATTGCAATTTTCTAATATGATCATTCTTTTTACCTTTATCAGCTGCCATTCTATTTTTTAAAAATAGCTTTTCCTTTTTCCTCCCTCTGCTTTCTTCTCCCTTTCTTCTCTCCTTTCCTCACCACTACCTCCTCTTCTTCCTTCTTTTTCTTCCTTCCTTCTGCTCATATACAATAAAAATTATATCAACTAAAGTAAAATTAAACTTTCTTTCAATTAACACATAACTTTTCTTTAAAGTGTTACATGCTGCTGCCCGAAAATCTGTACCACACCCATACTTTTGAGAATGAAGGAAATTCTGAGCAAGATAAGCAACATGACAAATTTGGAAATGCAGGAAAGAAAACTGCAAGTATAGAAGCCTTTTGAAAATAACACTGACTCGTGTGGATGGTGCTTATTGAAAAACAGCTGGAAATACAGTGGATAAACAGGGTAGGCCCAGATCATAGAAGCCTGACAAGGCAGTGGTGAGTTTGAAAGTTTCAAATTACTTTATTACTTTTCTTTTCAATTTAAAAAAGTTATGCAATTATCTTTTAAATCACAAATAATAAAAATACTCACCCTATTCAAAATATTAATTTTTTTGAACAATGCATAACCAACTTAGAAAAAGAAAAAGATGTAAAAAATATATGACAATAACCTGATATGTGTTAAAGCATATTCTGTAGAATTTGTAATGGCACAAAATACAACTGCTAATAATTTTAAAGATGTGATTCTTACCAATCAAATGTTTTATAACACTAAAATATTATTTGTAGCTGCATTTTTACTATCCCCTGAAGAGCATAAATATTATTGGCTACAAAATTGTCCTAAACCCAATCTGGGTTATCACTGACATAGATATTTAGACTTGCAGAATATTCTTTTATGCATTAAATTTTCCTATTTTTCCCTAGCAAGAATCAGAGGAATGAGGAGTAATATTAATCTAAATATTCTAGAGTTATGTTTCTGCCAAAAATAATAAAGAAAATTGGATTTCTACTCAAACAAAATAAAGTGAAATAAAATGACTGAAATAGTTTCCATCCTTTATAATCTCCCATTTTAAAGATATTATTTACATTTGATATAGTAACAAAAAATGAACAATTTATATGGTAAGAAAAACTCATGAATTCAGCATAATGAAACTGTCAAGAGAAAATAAAGGAGGAATTATTCCCTAATGATCAATTATTCTCTAAAACTGTGAAAGATCCCAGAGGTAACATGAATGTGAACTATATTAATAACTCTGGTGAGGGTTTGGGAGAGAATATATGCAGAAATGAATAGCAGAATTGTTACTGCAAGTTGCCGATAATTGAGGTACGAATGAAGTGGATTTTATGTTTCTTTCTATAATTATTTTTCCAACGTACATTTTAGTTTAGTATAGAAGACTACCTGCAATGGATGGTGATTATTAGGGTTATCTAAACTAGATCCAATCCAGCTTCTCAGTTTGCCCCTATGAACTACCCGGATAACAATACCAGCTGTATCTTAATTCCCATTAGTTAAGTCTGGGATTCAGCAGGCTTTTCTATAAAACATTGAAGAAATTTTATTTTGACTGAAGCACTGCCTTTATAGAATACTTATTTGATTAAATGAGGTAATGTATTTTCTAAATCGGTACTTTTCAAGCCTAAATACAAAAGAGAATTCACCTGGGGCTTTTAAAACCTACCAATTTTCTGCCTCGCATCTCCAGACCAATTAAACCAGATTTGCTGTGTGATTCTAATACGCAGCCAGAGTTGAGTACCATGGAGCTTATTGTTTGAAGAGGATACAAGGGAAATAAACTAATGCCCAAGCCCATATGCAAATGTTTGCAGTTGGGTTTTTTTTTTTTTTTTTAAATCCAGGTCCTGTACCTACTGGTAGAGGAGACCCAGTTAATAGATTCAAGCTATCTTGGCTTCATTTAAATATTCCTCCTCCCAGACCCTCTTTTTCATGGCAATTATGACTCCTCTTGGCAGCACTTTTCAGTAGAATGTTTTGTGATATAAAAATGTTCCACACCTGTGCCCTACAGTATGGGAGATATGAGTCATATGTGGTTCTTGGGCTCTTTATATGTGGCTAGTGTGACCGGGAATCTAGATTTTTAATTTTACATATATTTGTTAGTTTAAACGTAAATAATCCTATGTGGCTTCTGGCTCCCATATTGAACTATGCAACTCCAGAATTACCAGTGATCCAATAGCCACCAGGACCTGGGAAGACAGTGAGCTATTCAGAGGGATATACAGGAAATCTTCCTGATGTTATTAGCAGAAATAGCTAAATATAGCTCCCTGGAGAAGTAGAAGCAGGAATAGTCTTTCAACTGAGCTTTGGGGTAAAATGTAATACTTTTCCAGGATAGCAGGATAACCCTTAATATTGAGCAGGGGATGCCAGTTTCAACCAATAACTCTAATTAGCTCAAATTAGGCCAGAATCAGGGCAAATGTGAATATGGTCTAGGGTCTTTGGAAGACTTTGGCTGCCATCAAAGATAAGGCTAGTCCCAGATTATGAGGTAGTCAGATCTAAGAATGAATACTTAATGAACCCTGGAAATTCAAAAATTCCTTTGGTTCTATTGTGAGAAATCCAATAGCTGACAACCTGTTGGAGATCATATGAATGCTTTAAATAAACTGAATGACAACAGGGAGTATTTCTCTAGTCTTTTGAATGTGTTTTTCTTTTGATTGATCTAATGATGGTGCTGCTAAAGACAAATCTGAACTGCTGAAGCCAAAAATTAATGGGAAGTCTGTTTTGGTATATAAATTAGGATATTATCTTTATCAACAAGCACTGTCCAGAAAGAAAGCAGTGGAAGAATAGTATTTTATTCATAAAATGTATGGGGCCATTCATGCTGTTAAGGCCATTCAAATTGGCAACGGTCCCTCTCGCAAACCATTCTTTACTTGTCGCTCTGTTTTTTTAAATTTATTTTAAGTTCTGGGATACATGTGTAGGACGTGCAGGTTTGTTACATAGGTAAACGTGTGCCATGGTGGTTTGCTGCACCCATCAACCTTATCCTCATCCTTATCCTTTTAAAATTTTTATTATCATCTAAGCTTAATATAAATATATATGTTTGAAATAGTAATAAAAAACGAACAATTGAATTGCATCCGTAGCAAGACAACCTTCCTCATACATTAAAGAGGTGTTCAGAAAATTCCTTACAGTATCTGCTAAATAAACATGTTTCGCAGCTTAGCAAATATCATATGATTGCAGCATCCATGATTTGAAGTAAAACAGCATTTGCTTTCTTCTGCTGGAGGTCGTTGTTCAGGGCGATGTGCATGTTCTTAGACCTACAGCCTTAAGGAAGGGCTTGGGGGTGGCTCAGTGCGTGGCCCCAGTGCAAACACTTCCAAACCTCAAACAGTGAATCAACCAACCAACCACACAAACATCAAACAGTTGTCTCCTTTGAGTTCTTCTTGATCTAATGGGGGCTCAGCAAGGACTGCTGGTTAGAAGGTACATTAACAGACTTTGGAATGAGGATAATACCTTAATACCTAGGTATTAAGCCTCGCATGCATTAGCTATTTTTCCTGATGCTCTCCCTCCTCCACCCCCCATAGGCCCAAGTGTGTGTTGTTGCCCTCCCTGTGGTCCATGCGTTCTCATTGTTCAGCTCTCACTTATAAGTGAGAACCTGTGGTGATTGGTTTTCTGTTCCTGCGTTAGTTTGCTGAGGATAACGGCTTCCAGCTCCATCCATGTCCCCGCAAACGACATGATCTCATTCCTTTTTATGGCTACATAGTATTCCATGGTGTATATGTACATTTTCTTTCTCCAGCCTATCATTGATGGGCATTTGGGTTTATTCCATGTCTTTGCTATTATAAATAGTGCTGAAATGAACATACATGTGCATGTATATTTATAATAGAATGATTTACATTCCTTTGGGTATATACCCAGTAATGGGATTGCTGGGTCAAATGGTATTTCTGGTTCTAGATCTTTGAGGAATGGCCATACTGTCTTCCACAATGGTTGAACTAATTTACACTCCCACCAACAGTATAAAAGCGTTCCTATTTCTCCATAGCATCTCCAGCATCTGTTGTTTCTTGACATTTTAATAATCACCATTCTGACTGGTGTGAGATGGTATCTCATTGTGGGTTTGATTTGCATTTCTCTAATGATTAGTGATGTGGAGCTTTTCTTCATATGTTTGTTGGCTGCATAAATGTCTTCTTTTGAGAAGTGTCTGTTCATATCTTTTGCCTGCTTTTTAATGGGGTTGTTTTTTTTTTTTTCTTTAAATTTGTTTAAGTTCCTTGTAGATTCTGTGTATTAGACCTTTGTCAGATGGATAGATGGCAAAAATTTTCTGCCATTCTGTAGATTGTCTGTTCACTCTGATAATAGTTTCCTTTGCTGTGCAGAAGCTCTTTAGTTTAATTAGATCTCATTTATCAATTTTTGCTTTTGTTGCAATTGCTTTTGACATTTTCATCAGGAAATCTTTGCCCATGCCTATATCATGAATGGCATTGCCTAGATTTTCTTCTAGGATTTGCATAGTTTTGGGTTTTACATCTAAGTCTTTAATCCATCTTGAGTTAATTTTTGTATAAGGTGCAAGGAAGGAGTCCCGCTTCAATTTTCTGCATATGGCTAGCCAGTCATCATAGCACCATTTATTAAACAGGGCATCCTTTCCCCATTGCTTGTTTTTGTCAGGTTTGCTGAAGATTAGATGGCTGTAGATGTGCAGTCTTAGTTCTGAGCTCTCTATTCTATTCCATTTGTCTATGTGTCTATTTTTGTACCAATACCAGCTGTTTTGGTTAAGACTACACTATCTCTAATTTAAATCAAATTGTTAGTGTCCTAAACATTCAGGAGATCAGATATCAACAGAAGTGACTAGTAAGATAATGTTACCATTTGATGCCATAGTACTTTTTTAGAGACAAAAATCCCATTTTCTTTTTCAAGAAGAACATGTGATTACTTTTGGGGAGGGTTTGAGGAACTTCTTTTCTCCCTTTATAAGTTGGTGGCTAACATTTTGCACAGGGGCTCTGATTCCAGGTGCAGAGACAAAAGGTATGTTCACTGGGGAGTTCCTAGGTACCAGTTGATTATAGAGTTATAGTTATGATGCAGGGGCAACTGCCCTACTTCTGATTTTAAAAATGGTTCTCAATATGTTGTGTTCTTATCTAAGTCAATGAGCACTGGGGTGGCAAATAAAATTAAATTTTTAATATGTTGTGGGCATTAATTATAACTTATAGGATATTAATTTTCAACAAAATTATTGAGCCATTGGGCCAAGGAATAAGTGGTGTTGATCACTAAAATTGAGGGAACTCATAACTTTTAACTGAGTGAGATCTTGGTGCACGAAGCCTGAAACTTTCATTTATCATTGTTTAAATCTAAAGGCAGGAACTCCCACTCAGAGTTTCACTGAGACAAAGACTGCAGTCTCTGAATTCACAGATTCAAACTTAGAGAAGGTTTTTTGATTGTTGTCTTTTCCTAACCCTTTTATCACCTTCCTAGACAGCCAGTCATGTACCAAAATTGCAGATGGTAAGCTTACAGGATGGGTGCTCATGGTCAACATGTCTTTACCCACCCCTTATACCCCACAATTAGAGGCATAATTTGCTTGCAAAGAGCACAGAATTCTCAAACCCTTCAGTCTGAGCAGAGGTCACAGTGGTAAAAGGTATGTGTGGATACAGTCTCACCTGTGAGATCTCATCTCATAGTTAAGCCTATCAGTTTGGAGCACACATTCATCATTGAGGATCAATGACACAAGTTTATGTCCTTGCTTAAGGACATAAAGCTCATAAGTAACAGATAAAGGATGTGTAACGAGACGAGTGGACTCTACAGACAATGAGTTTAACCTCTAGCATATACTCCATCACAAGGACAAAGTCCATAAGAGCCAGTCTCATAATGTTGTTAAATTTTTGACACTTGATAAACATGGTAAGGAAGACTTTATTAAAGACCATTGCAATAGAAGAGGGAAACTCAACTCCACAACAAAGAAAGCTAAGAATTTGTAGACAAAGAGCAGAGTGAAGGGGTCAGCAGATGGAAATTATTAAGAGGAGACATCAAGTGTAGAGGGATTCTCGCTTAACTGGCCTAACAAGATTCTTCTTAGAGGCATATTAAGGACTTAGACATTAAGGGCAAGGGATGAGAAACTTGGTTAGATATCAAGCATGGAGATTCTCACTAAACTGACTTAGCAGGATTTTTTGCTTAAGGCAGGCCAAGGCCAAGGCCAAGGATGAGGCCTAGTTGAGAAGAGGGCTTAGAGAAGCCTAACTAAAATTTGAACAAGGAGGGAGTCATTGTCAATGTTCAGCTAAAAACAATATTTTAGCATTGAAAGATCATTGACTTTTGAAAAGAGCTCTAGATAATATTTTGAAAAATGCCTTTCAATTAGTGGAAAATATGCCTCAACATCAAGACATGTACAAGACTGAACATTTCAGAAAGGTTTGTATGTGTGTATATTAGAAGTTGAATTACATAAAAAATTACAATTACTTGTTGGTTTATTTTCAGAACGTCTCTTTACCATATGGAACAATTTTGAACTTCTAAGATCAAGCCTTTCTGTTGCTGAGAGTAAGAAAGGAGCTCTGTGTTGAGGTTCCAGCTTGCTTCTATTCGCCAGTGTCCCTGTAGTGCTTTCTGGTGTGATGTAAAATCAATTAAACAAAACTTGTGCTCTGCATGTTTTGAAAATGTATGGTTCTTTAAGTGTCATATTATTTGCAAGTCTATTCTGTATGATCCTCTAATAGAGAAAAGTCACCTCCATACATTTCTTACACTTCCAGTTAAAGGAATTTAATTTTAAAAACAGAATATCTTGCTTTACTTTTTTTCATATTAAAACTAGAAATGTATTGAAGAAATCAGAACAAAGTATTTATTTATATAACATTTATTAAACCTAATGAGGCTACAAAGCAATTTACCAGATTTAGGTGAACTATGAAAGATATTGTTTATAAACTCAACTATGCTGTTTGGGAATGTTTTCATGAATATTAAGTTTAACTGATACTAGTTAAAATGATAATTACTTCACTAACACTAGTTAAGAGGAACATTGAAAAGTATTATGCGAAAAATTTCTTATAAATATTAAATGTTAGGAATCCAGTATCTTCATATTGTCTTATTTTCTCTTTTGGCCCTGAGACTGATGAATTTTCATTATAGTCACCATCATCTCTAATCATATGCCTCTTTTTATGTGACAATTTGTCTTATTTTTAGAATTTGTATCAGCTTCTAATATTTCTAAATAGCATTAATATTTTGGTTTCTTTCTTACTTGGGTAACCCAAATGAGTACGACAAAATGAAAGAACAGTATTATATATTTAATTAGATCTTATTCAGAATCCAAAAGTTATCACACCATTTCAAAACCTGCTTATATTGGTAGGCTACTGCTTCAGTGAAAAAAAACCAGTAAGTATTTCAGTTTCTGTGTTTAATAGTTTAACTCTTTCACATGTTATTAGAGGAGCTCAATATATAATAGACAGTAGTTGTGGATCCCAGAGATAGATTCGAAATGGGTTCTTTGTCATATCCGTGGTACCTCTCAGGAGTACACAGACACATTTTAAAGAAAAACAGATATATTCTCCATCAAGATAGTAAGTTAGTCTTGAAAAATGAGAGGCTTTAATTTGAGATTTAAGTAAAGGATAACAGTTTATCCCATTTCACCTACCTCTGTTCCGTATATTTCTTTAAGCAACTCTAGAGCTCAGAGTTTGCTTTATAACAAATCATATATGATGTATAATTTTCTACTTCCTGTAGGATTCTTTTTACAACTTAATATTTGAAAGATGATCATTCAGCCTCTACTTAATTATATATTTGGTTACAGAGATCTTACTCTCTCAATTGTAGGAAGTTTCTCACTGTTAGAAATGGTGCATAACATTGAGGTTAATTCTGCCATCGTATAAGTTATACACAGTGATGAAGCTAGAATGAAACTTTAAAAAATTTTAAAGGAGATTAAATGAGATAATAAAAGTGTAGCCTTTGCATCAATGCTTGGCACCAAAAACATTATCTGTTTATTTTCAACAGATCCATTGAAAATGCTTTATGAGAATGATCTCTATGACTGTGAAGATTAAATAGTATATTTGAAAGTGGTGTTGCTGAGTGGGATCATTAAGGAAAGTTCTACTTAGACTCAAGAGACAGAATAGAGATATATTATATCCTATTCCATTACAGAACATATTCCTAATATTATATCAATACTCTGCTTAATTAAGAATAATCCTCAGATGTTTTAACAACATAATATTGACTGCAAAATTGAAATCACATGAGAAACTATAATATTCAAAACAAAAACCCTCTATGTAAAAACTGAACTCTAGTCATTAAATTTGTTTCTTGTAGGAGTCCAGGTTAACAATTCTGAAAACACTTTATGTATATACTGAGGTTGAATAAGTAAGTTAAAGGTATGATGAAGAGTGGGAGCAGGGTTTTACATGTTTGGAGTGTGAAATAGGTATAGATAAGCAATGGAAAACCTGGATTGAGCTCCAAGGTAATGGGCATGTGGAAAGTCTTTGAATTATTTTAGCAACTTGTCTGTAAATTTAAACTAATCAACCACAGAGCATTTGCAGAACAAAATGAGAAGATGAATAAGAAGCCCTAAATTTTAGATGTGGACAGAAGAACAGCTTCTGTTTTGAGGGTATATGCTGGATTTTATAATTTAACCATTGTACTGCCAGATTAGGTTTTCTATTTCCAAAGTGGGCAGAACACACTGTATTTGTCTCCTAGGGGAAGGATAATTGACCTTAAAGGTCTTGGAAAAAGCATTATAACCACCAGTTATAAGATCAATTGGAGAGTAATTGTAAAAGTGCTATGAAGATATGAGGCATGTAAGAAGCAATATAAAAAGGGTGGCCAAATAGCAGTTTTAAAACAAACTGAATTTATTGCTTACTGGCAAGGGAAGAATGCACCACACAGGTGTAACTTCAGAGAGTTGTTCAAAGCAGAAATTAAAGGGTTTAAAAGATATATAGAGAAAAACACCAAATAGGGCACGGTCCTGATTAATGGATGTGGATTATGAGCTGGGTTGTAAACTCTTATTTGCATCTGGTTACCTTTAGAGTTAGCACCACTAGTATGGAGAAACAAGGTTTCAAATAGGTCTGGAAAGAAGAGAGAAAAGTTTCAGAGAGCCCAGGGTCATGCTTGTATACCCTTGCTCAAAGATTTCCAAGATTTTAATTTAACAGGCATCATTATCATGTACAGTCTTACTTAGAAGCAAGAAATAAAGCTAAGGAATTTATAGAGGTACTTTCCATTGATAAGATTTAAGGGAAAACTAGTAGTATTTGATAATAAACACTTTATACAAAGTTACAAGATTTTCATTGGTTTTGAGGAATGACATAAAGAAGATGGAAGACTAGGAAGCTTCAGCCCTTGTTCCCTAATGGAAACATTAAATATATACATAGGAAATTTTATGGCATTTTCACTTGCCCTTACCCCACCAATGAGGCATGAGGCAGTTAGGAATAAGCAGCCCAATTCCCAGTCTTCTCCCTCAAACCAGAAGAAGCAGAATAGAGAATATTTGTCACATTCAAACCTATTTGTGGGCTCCCACAGGGACTGGTTTCTGTCTTGTTGGACTCAGGGCTCAGTGTGGATCTTAAGCTGTGGAAACAGTGAAAGGCAGTGGTAGGCACCATGCCACATGGAAACTGCAGGGGGAAAGCAGATATATATATGTCTAGGCACAGAAATTATGGGCAGAAGGATATAATAGGACATGTGAGACCTAAAAAGAAGCTGGGGTGAGACTCTGGAAAATTAAGACATCTAAGCAGTCATCTATATGAGAGAAACTGGGGAGGAAAAGGCATAGTAAGGCCCCAGCAGGACACATTCCCAGAAAATACCCATGAAGACAAGCTGATCCCAAAACTCAGGGGCCTGCTAATTAGTGAAGATCTTCTACACCAGTCTTCAAAGACTGGGAGAGGCGTTTGTTTTTTCACATGCCCAGTTTTCAAATGAATACCACAAAGCATTTAAAACAAAAAACAAACAAACAAAAAAAACTATCATCCCTTCAAAAGAATGAAGTAAATTCCTACTAGCTTTCAGTATTGGACTCACTAGATGAAGACATTAAAGCAATTATCTGAAATATGCTCTAAGACCTAAAGTAAAACACAAAGAACTGACAAAAATAGGGAAAATGGCATATGAACAAAATGCATCATCAACAATGAGACAGAAATTATTTAAAAGAATGAAATAAAGATTCTGTGAAGATGGAGAAGTAGGAAATACCAGAAATCCATCTCTCCACCTACACAGCAATTGTACTGGAAGAAGTTACCTGATGTTACTGTTTTTAACTTTGGAGTCCATTAGAAGGCTTTCAATTTCTAGGGGTCTACTTGATGGGGGAGGGTGGGACGAGGGAGAGGGGCAGAAAAAATAACTATATGGTACTAGGCTTAATACCTGGTGAGGAAACAAACCCACATGTCACCTGTTTACCTGTGTCACAAAACTTCACCTGTACCCCCAAACCTAAAATAAAAGTTAAAAAAAAAATCTCTTGGCTGGGTGCGGTGGCTCACGCCTGTAATCCTAGCACTTTGGGAGGCCAAGGCAAGTGGATTACCTGAGCTCAGGAGTTCAAGGCCAGCCTGGCCAACATGGTGAAAGCCCATCTCTACTAAAATACAAAAAATTAGCTGGATGTGGCAGTGTGCACCTGTAATCTCAGCGACTCGGGAGGTTGAGGCAGGAGAATTGCTTGAACCCAGGAGGCAGAGGTTGCAGTGAGTCGAGATCACGGTACTGCACTCTAGCCTGGGCGACAGAGCAAGACTCCATCTCCAAAAAAAAAAAAAAAAAAAAAATCTTTTCTCTAAACATTCCTTTCACTTTATCCCCCAAATGAATCTCCCTTTGCATAACATTTTCACCAAATACTCAGGCCAAAAACTGGCACTTTAACTTATGACTTAGAACTGTTGGGAATAAAACTCCAGAAAAAAAATTGCTATTGAGTACTGAATGTGTTTATTGATAAACTAAATATATTTTTAAAGCATAATACAATAATTATGTAGATGATAAAATATAAATTGTTCACTTAGGAGATTAATACATAAATCATATTTACAGATCATTGATTTGAGAAATACAGTTTGATGACATTTCAGTTTGAGCAAAAGATGAGGTGCTCAAGTATGGCATTCTGTCTCATTAAGACAGAATTCAAACTTTCTGTGAAGAGAAAGTCCCCCCATTTCTTGGTGTGCTTCAGGACCTCCGTATTCTTTAGATTTGGAGGCACCGCCCATTGAGGAGCTGGCTGCGGTGTTACAGGGAGGAGGAGGAGGAGGAACTCTAGGCCAGGGGCGGGGTACCCCGGATCCAGTGACCTCAAGGACTGCTCAGATGGAGTCAGTGTGGCAACAGAGCCTGGCAGCTCCGGAGGCCTGAGTGGAGGGGAGAGAACAGTGCTGCTCTAAGACCCAGCCCCCTCATGGGGGAGGGAGCAGCAGGGCTTGGCTCTCAGCTGCCTGGGAGGTGTGGAAAAGCTCCTTGTGACTGGGTGGCTCTCATGGCCTCTCCCAGGGCCTCCAGTGTTGTTAGCATCTCTACCAGCTCCTCTTGTTG